ATGGGGGCCTCAGTTGAGTGTCTAACAGGGAAGACTCGGACAGTCACACCCCACAGGAATCAGAGTCCAGGCCAGGATTGCCAGGGATTACATAATTAGACAGAAGGGGAAAGGAATGTTTCCCCTAACATTTACTGCTCACGCACCATCTCATTAAAGGACCCTCTGAGACAGGAGTTACTGCCTCCATTTTACAGGTGAGGAAACCGCTTTGGAGGTGAGGGGACTTACCTGAGGCCATCCAGCTGGTAAAATGTAGAAATGCGATTTGATCCCAGGGGTGGGCCTCCCACTGGAAAGCAACACAACTCCTGAAATCATTTGGAAGGTGGTGCTAGGGAATTGTCTTGAAGTTGCATTTGCATAGCAAGCTCATGGGTTTTGCTCATATCACATATTTAACTGGGGAGCTGATGGGAACATATAGGATAATAAAATACATTTGGTCTTTGTCCCTGGTTCCTGGCACAGAGCTCCTAAAACCCTTGTAATTTCATGAGTGTTAGTAGTGTCTTTTGTTATTCAAAATGAACCCCTTCAACCATGTGATTAGAGGGTCAGAACTTTCAGCCTCAAACCCAGACCTCAGGGAGGGAAAAGGGACTGGACATTGAGTTCAGTCACATGGCTAATGATTTAATCAGATGTGCATATGTAATAAAATCCCACATAAAAACCCTGAATCAGGGCTTCCCTGGTGGCGCAGTGGTTGAGAGTCCGCCTGCCGATGCAGAGGACACGGGTTTGTGCCCCGTCCAGGAAGATCCCACATGCCGCGGAGCGGCTGGGCCCGTGAGCCACGGCTGCTGAGCCTGCGCATCCAGAGCCTGTGCTCCGCAACGGGAGAGGCCACAACACTGAGAGGCCGGTGTACCGCAAAAAAAAAAAAAAAAAAAACCCTGAATCACTGAGGCTCAAGGACCTTCTGGGTTGGTGAACACATCGATGAGCTGGTAGGGTGGCCCATCCGGAGAGGGCATGGAACCTCTGCACCCCCCTCTCCCAAGACCTTAGTCTATGTACCTCTTCCATTTGGCTGTTCCTGGGTTGTTATCTTCTCTAATGAAATTCTAATTGTAAGTATAGCACTTTCCTGAGGGCTGTGAATTGTTTCAGCAAATTATTGAATCTGGGGGGTGGTCATGGAAATGCTGGAATTTGTAGTCGGCCAGGCAAAAGTGGGGGTGGCTGGTGACCCCACTTGCTGCTGACATCTGAAGTGGGAGACAGTCTTGTGGGACTGATCCCTTAACCTATGAGGTCTGTGCCAACTTGTCAGAATTTAATTGAAGTGTAGGATACCCACTTGGTGTCAGAGAATTGCTGTTTGGAACATACTTGGTGTTATGACAGGACACTTCCTTTTTTTTTTTTTTTAATTTTTAAAATTATTTATTTTTTGGCCAGGCGGCACATGGAGTCTTAGTTCCCGGACCAGGGATCAAACCTGCACCCCCTGCATTGGAAGTGCAGAGTCTTAACCACTGGACCACCAGGGAAGTCCCAGGACACTTCTTCATTTCCCAACTATGACTTTGTAATACTATCACTGTTCCAAAGTCAAGATTATGAAACAAAATAACAACTCAGAGGCTCAGGGTTGGAGCCCCTTTGCCATACTACACATAGCCTGATGATAAGAAAGTCCTCAATGGGGTAAACGCATAGATTTCTTGGATAGAACCACCCTGACCAAAGGTTTCATGTCTCATGAACCAACCCGGAATCTGCCCATAACTCAAATCTGTGACTCTACAGAGGTTCCAGATCTTAGACTGAGTAACCTCAGCCAACCTGAGATGCATAAATGACTTTGCCTTTCATTCAGATAGGGGAGAGCGGGGAATGGTGAAATAAACACAACCCCTGTAATGTTAACGCACCTTGAATTAGAAATGAATCTCTCCTCTACTAGGCTGTAAACTCCAGATCAGTATCTGCTTTCCCTACCATTGTGTCCCGGGCGGTTAGCACAGGGAGTTCCAGCCTCAAAATAGGATCTGCGTGATAAATATTTGTTGATTGAATGAATATGGACTCAAATTTATTATTTAAAAAAGAAAGTGTATCTCATCCCTTGCTGGTAGGAATGCAAACTGGTATAACCGCTTTGGAAGACAGCTTGGCCATTTCTTTTTTATTTATTTATGTATTTGGCTGCGCCGGGTGTTAGTCACGGCACACAGGATCTTCGTCGCCACGTGTGGGCTCCTTAGTTGTGTCATGCGAACTCTTAGTTGCTACATGCATGTGGGATCTAGTTCCCTGACCAGGAACTGAACCCGGGCCCCCTGCATTGGGAGCAAGGAGTCTTAGCCACTGGGCCACCGGGGAATTCCCAGTTTGGCAATTTCTTACAAAGCTAAACATAGTCTTACTGTTGGATCCAGCAATCAGACTTCCAGCTATTTACCCAAATGAGCTGAAAATTCATGTCCACACAAAAACCTGCACATGAATATTTGCAGCAGTTTTATTCATAATTGCCAAATACTGGAAGCAACCAAATGTCCTTCAAAAGGTGAATGGATAGACACACAGTGGCATAGCCATACAACGAATAGTATCCGGCAGTAAAAAAAAATGAGCTATCGGGGACTTCCCTGGTGGTGGAGTGGTTAAGACTCCGTACTCCCAGTGCAGGGGGCGCGGATTCAATCCCTGCTCAGGGAACTAGATCCCACATGCATGTAGCAACTAAGAGTTCGCATGACACAACTAAGGAGCCGGCGAGCCGCAACTAAGACCTGGCGCAACCAAATAAATGAATAAATATAAATAAATTTTTAAAAATTATATCTTCAACCTACTATTAAAAAAAAAGAAAAAGAAATGAGTTATCAAGCCATTAGAAGATATGGAGGTGATCACGGAGAGACAGCAGTGAGGACTTAGTTCCCTGCCCAGGAATTGAACCTGCGTAGCCCAGATGAAAACCAGGAATCCTAGCCGCTAGAGCACCAGGGGCTAGAGGCTAGAAGCAAAGTGGCCCTGGCTCTTTCCCCCATCTGAGAGCAAGAATGTTTCAAGGAGGCAAAAACTGTAAAAAACAGGTACAAAGTTTATTATTAGAGACACAGCACTATGGGAGAGCACACAGAGAAACAGTTTATTTAAGTCGAAGCTAGGCAGAAATACACACCCAGAGAGAAAGGGTGTGGGCATCCTTTCTAATGGGGAGGAGTGGAGTAAAGAGGCGATTTAAATCACTTATATAGGACAGTTCTTCCTGGTCTTTGTTTACCTTTGGCCAATTATTTCTTTTTTCACACATGACTGGTCCTAGGACCCTCCCCAAGCTGCGTGTGCAACTTTGTGCTAAGATGGATTCCACTGCAGAGGCCTGTGTGTATATGTCCACACTTATTATGGGGTGGTGCCCCCTCCCTTTTTGACCCCCAAGGAGCCTTCCTGCACATGTCCAGACAGGAAGTTTTCCTTGACCTCAGGAGTGGTTATCTTATCTCTTTACTTCAGCAGAGCTCAGCTTCTGCCACTAGCTTTGACCTTGGAGCATCTGGGTGAGAACAGAGCTTCAGTGTTACTCCACTTGACAAACCCCAGCTGTCCAGCCCAGGGGCCCATCTATCTTCTACTTTAGAGGAACTTTAAATGCATGTTGCTTAGTGAAAGAAGGGAGTCTGAAAAGGCTGCATACTGTCTGATTCCAACTATATGACATTCTGGAAAAGGCAAAACTATAGGGACAGTAAAAAAGATCAGGGTCCCCGTGGTTACCAGGGGCTTGAGGGGTGGGGGAGGTAGGTGGAGCACAGAGGATTTTTAGGGCAGTGAATCAATTTTGTATGATACTGTAATGGTAGATGTATGACATTATGCATTTGTCAAAACTGTTAGAATGTACAACACAAAGAGTGAACCCTAATGTAAACTATGAACAATGCATCAATATAGGTTCATCAACTATAACAAACGTACACATTAACACATGTGAACAACAGAAACTGAGTGCGGGTTATGTGGTGGGAACTCTGTACTATCTGTTCAATTTTCGGTAAACCTAAACCTCTAAAAAAGTAAAGTCTGATAATTAAAAGAGAGTAAATGAACGAATCTATAAAATAATTGGATTAAATTATTGCCAGCTCTGAATCACACTCCAGCTCTGTGCCTCAGGGTCCCCATGTGTAAAACCAAGCTGAGCTTTGAGTTTGGCGCGCGACGGGAGGAGAGAGGGTAGCTCTCCTATCGTCCAAGGGTTCAGGAGAGAACCGGATACCGTGCGTCTTTGGACACCCAGGCCTGCGATGAGCCCCGCCCACCCCCGGGAGCCCGCCCCCAGAAGCCAGTCCCAGGCCCACACACTCCCTCAGCCCGGCGCATAGGCCGCGCCCTCGCACGCCATTGGCTCTCCGATTGGACGGCTCGGAGGAGGTGTTGGCGGAAGGGGTGAGTCTGATTGGCTGGGCGGGGCCGACGGTGTGCGACGAACATGGCGGAGCGCGGGAGGAAGAGGCCCTGCGGCCCGGTAGGTGGAGGGATGTGGGATCCCGCGGCAGGGCGCGGGGTGGAGGCAAGAGAAAGAGCCGCTTGGGGGCCCGTGGCGGGGCCTGGCCCTGCTCGTCGCTGCTCCGCGGCCCGAGTCCCCGAGGTGCCGCATGCTTATGGCCTCAAGCACCCCTGTCCAGATGAGAACCGGAGGTGGGAGCCGGGGTTCGAGTCAGAGCCGGGACTGCGTTGGGTAACTCATTGCCCGGGGCCCGGATTCAGAAGACTGGACCCGGCTCGGAATCCCGAGCCCTTTCGTGGCGTATCTCTTCTGACACCAGGGCGACAGTGGGCAGGTCCTGTCCCCCTGAACCTGTTTCCTCTTCTCTCCAGTGGGAACTCATTAAACAATTT